CCATGCGCCCGCCTGCGCAAGGTCCAGCCGGTCTGATGGCCGAGTGCTGTGATGTGCCCAGTGTGGGTAGTCCGGGCACTCCAAGCCAGGACTACTTTGCAAGCGGGGCACCCCTGAGAACTGTCTGTCCGGGGTGGGGGTCGGATCCCTTTAAGCGCAGCCCTCGGCTAGCCTGAGACAGCAGCTCCACGCTCTATGTCCTCCTCTGATGCCCTGCCGGCACTGCTTCCGGCCATCCTTAAGCCCTGTTCCGGGTCCACTCAATGTGGACTTGCTAGTTCGAATTAGCAAAACGCTAATTCGAACTAGTTTTTAGTTCTAGACGCGTTAGTTTGAATTAGCTTAGTTCGAATTAACTAATTCGAACTAAGTTAGTTCGAATTAACGTTGTAGTATAGACGTACCCTATAAAAATTAAGAATAAGCTCTCTCTGTGTCTCTATGAAACAGGAGTTCACGAGAGAGTGATCAGTCCGTCCGTGGCTGAGGACAGTCAGGAGGAACCATGCACACTCAAACGGCGCGAAAAGCCATGAGCCACTCTCTGGCTGAGGACAGTCAGGAGGAACCATGCACATTCAAACGGTGCGAAAAGCCATGAGCCACTCTCCGCGCATGCGCGGTCCGGCACACTACGGCTGGAAAAGATCTCCAATCTGTGGCACCGGGAAAAGCCCAACACCTACAGTGGAGCACCCACGGGACATTGCTTGAAGAAGAAAGGACTGGAGTTGGATGACAGCAAACTACAACAGAAAACATTTCAGTTTCCTCCACATCAGTTTTTGTTTGTTGTTTCAGTTCTGGTGTCTGAATATAACATTAGCCCTAGCTTGAAAATACATTCACATTGAGCACATGCACCCTGGTGCATCTGAAGCACTGGAACATATTATAAGGACTCCTTAAATATTTTCAGAATATATGAACTCCTATATACATATGGCTGGCAATCAAGCCATGAATTTTAAATTTCTTTTAACAAGCACTTCCTAAACTGTCAACTGCTATATTTAAATGTGCAACATTATATATATTCATGGATTACATAGGTGTAGCCATATTATGTATTTGTTATAAGATTTTTGAAAAGATTTTTCTGCCACTCACCATCGAGAAGTCTGGTAAGTTCTGTAAGGTCAGATATCTTAGTCTGATTTGTGTATTTTATTATCAGACCACTACATTTTGGTATATTTATATTTTGATCCTCTAGAAGTTTAGAAATATTTTTGGATGCATCTTCTGCAATCAAATAACATTTGGAACCAAGAGTATCACACATACTGCTCCACTGCTGGCCATCCTGTGTAAAGGAAATGATTAGATATTTAAAGGACAAATTCAGGAAAACAACTTAAAAAAATTGAGGCGTGAAAACAAGGTGTGTAGGGGGGTGGCAGGGAGAGGGGAGAAACACATCCAAGTGTAAAATCTTGACCTCACTAAAGTCAATGGATGTTTTGCCATTAACTTCAGTGGGACCAAGATTTCACCCCACGACTATCTTTCACACAGATAAATTATTTTAAATAAATACCGTCACAAATAAAATATTTTACTGCCACTTTGTTTGACTGTAGGGATTTTGCTAGGGGCAAGAAGAAACCTAGTCACTGGTAAAAAAGCATCAGCTAATATACTACAGGTTAGACCTCCCTGGTACAGCACTTTCAGAACCTGAGTGGTCCTGAAGGAGAGATTTTGCCAGACCAAGGGAGGTAGTTTCTGGTCCCCCTGTCACTGGCCCTCCCCCCGAGCCCAACTCTGCTCCAGGTCCAGCCTCCCGGCCAGTTGTCCACCTGCCACCAGCCCCACTGCCCTGCCATGGCAGCCCATGGTCCTGCTGCTGGGGCTTCCAGCTCCAATGCAGCAGACCACTAACCTGCCACCGGTGCTCCCAGTCCCACTGGCCCTGCCAGCCTGCAGTCCTGCCACCAGAACTCTGATTCCTCCCCCACTCCTGGTCCCACAGTAGATCACTGCTCAGCTGCCAGTATTCCCAACTCTGCCAGCCCTACCTGAGCAGCATTGGCCCCACTGCCAGCGCTCCTCTCCTCACCTTGCCAGCCCTGTTGCAGTAGCTGGTGGTCCCACTACTGGGGGTTCTAGCCCCACCACAGCAGACTGCTCCATCGCCCACAGAGCTTTTCTGCCAGAGCCCACTGGCATTCCAGCCACCCTACTACTGGACTCCTGTGGCAAAGCGCCCAGCCGCTGGCCTCCCTGCAACCAGCCTGGCTGGATTCCTGGCTCCTGCCTCTTGCCCTCCCACCAAGTGTCTCTGGTCCAGCAACATCTGTGATTTGGCAGGTGCTGGACCAGCAAGTCCAGGTTGAGAGAGGTTCAACCTATACTGCAAAATGAACTGAATATATAAGACTGCTAGCCAGATTACTCTCCTGCAAATTTGATTAAAGGAAAACTAATGGAATATAAAATATTTTCCAGTCACTTGATCCAATGTAAAATATGGCTAAATAGCTAAACATTTATTTTAAAATCCACATTTCATTTAAATATGACAGTAGATTTCCCCAGCTCGCATTAGGTAAGTTCAGCATTATTTTTAGTGATCTTGGATTAGCATAGCATACATGTTATACTAAATTTCCTGCCTCTTCTCGCTACCCCAAATACCATTTACTGACAATAAAATGGATATTTTGGAATATATAATTTACCAATAAAGTTTGCCTTTTTTTGTTCATAAATTATCAATGAATAGATTGTAAAATTCTCAAATGTATAAGAGATTTATGAATTTCCTCCATGAATAATTCTTGCTGTACCAAACACAGAATTGTGGATATCTGTAATTAGAAATTTCCACTATGCAGGGCTCCAATTCAATGAAGCATTTAAGCACGTACTTCACTCACATCGAAGTTAATGGCATATAAGCACATGCTTAAAGTTAAGCACACAAAGTATTTTGCTGTGTAAGAATGGAATGATCAAATGGGACCAGATCAGTCATAATACATAAGTGTTCAAATGTTGTGTTGTGTTCAAACAATGTGTTGTGAATTTGCTTTGTATGTTTTTTAATACTAAATTACTTTAAAATGCTCCATATTTTCAATTTTGATATTCTGCAGATTTCTGTATTGAAAGCACATGACTCCTTCATGGCTGCTGTCAAGGGAAGTTGGAAGTTTTGGCAGTTAGGAACAATTTGGACTTTTGGCACCTGGGGAAGAGCGAGAATCAGTTTAGGATTGTGACAAAAGCAAAGCTAGCTATACATTTCTGCTACGATGATCAGAAGTGAAATAGTTTAAAATGTTTATATTTAAATGATCACCTTTAGGTTTCAGAGTTAACGACTCATTGAGATGAATAGGGCAGTTCACTCTTCTCAGAACTATTGTTTCAGGCTATGCACAGATTCAGGAAGACAACATTGCATTGCATTTACCCTTAGTACAGATTTTTAAGCTTGTCTTCATAAAACGTACTAGTTTAAAATAAGAGCTTAGGAATTAGATGCACAATTCTTCTCCAAGGGATGGATTCCACATTAAATTGTGTAGCTATAGAAAAGGAAGTTACTCAACTTGTGTAGTAACAATGGTTCTTCAAGGTATGTGCCCCGGGGGTGCTCCACTAGGTGACTTCATAGTAGTAATCAGGTAAAACAAAGGATGGTGGGCTTTGGAGTAACCGTTTATTGGAGGTGGATAATATCACAGTGGCTAGAGAGGCATCATTGGACAGATGTGGAAGAATGGCGTAGTGCTTCATGAAGGTGTGATTTGATGACCATGTAGCACACAGTAGATGTCCCGAAGGGAGATACACCTCATTAGGAAGGCTGTGGATGTTGATACCCGCTTTGGTGGAGTGTACTCTTGGTGAAGTAATGAGCTTTCTGTGTCAGAGTATAGCATTGTGTAATACAGGAGACAATGATGTTGGAGATATTATGCAATGAACAGGACATCCCCACTCTGGAGCAATACTGGGGGCACTTGGCATTGGTGTGGGAAGCAAAAAGATTGATATGAGGCTATCCCAGTTCCAAAATATGGGTTGGAGTACTTGATGGTTGATCTCTCATTCGTACTTGGTGAAGTGTCTTCTCAAGGTATCCATTGCAGCATTGCTAATTCCAGGCAGATTCGAAGCAGTCAGGGTTATATTGTTGCTGATGCATCAGTTCCACAGACAGTTTGCCTCTGCACACAGCAAGCAAGAACGTGCCCCATCTTGGCGACTGATATAATACATAGTTGTCATGTTGTCAGTGAGTATTCTCACTATGTGGTTGCTGATGTGTGCTCAGAAGTGCTTGCAAGCATTCGCAACCACTTGAAGTTGCAGGAGGTTTATATGGAAAGCTGTTTCATGGCTGGACCATCGATCCTCTGGGAAATGTCCATCTAGGTATGCCCCCCATCTGATCATGGACACATTGGTCATGATCTGTACTGATGGCTGCTCACACTGGAATGGTACTCACACTAAAAGGTTGTTTGGGGCAGTCTACCACTTGAGGAAGGCTAATACATTGGGAGGGGGAGAGACATGCTACAGAGAGAGATGTTTCGCTAGTCTGGTGTGAAGCACCGTAGCGCATGGAGAAGCATGTCATTAACGTCTAACATGACTTTGAGTGGTGTGCGCCAAGGAACCCTCTACCATGCCTGTGAATGCGGCACTGATGACGGTGACATCAGTGCCAGTAATCATATTGGTTCTGGGCTAGAGGCCCTAGGCAGCACCTCGTTGGACTTGGAGTAAGCGTTGGCCAGTACGGAAGGTTTTGTCGGTGCCGACAGTGCTGGCATGATGGACATTTTATCTGGTTTGCATGCCTTTGCCTGTGTCAGCGTTGTGACCGGCACTGATGCAGATGATGTTACGTACCAGGACTTTGGTTCTGTCACTGTTGCAGTATGGATGGTTGTGGTGTCGGATGTTCCCAGCTTGTCCCTGGTGCTGACAAGGCTGGATTGCGAAACTCTCTTTTTAGCTGCCATTTTCGGTGTGGGGGAGCTCACTCATCATTTTTCAGCCCTAGGAGGGTCAGAATAGGAGGAAGATTCCCTGGACTCAGATGGTTGAAATGCCTTGTCAAAAAGGATGCAGATGCTTTTGCGCAAAAACTTGCCAGTTGTCTACACTGGCCGCTTGATTTTGCGCAAAAGCACTGACGTTCTACTGTCCGAAATCTGTGCTTCTTGCGCAAATGCTTTGACGTTCCCATTTGTGCAAAAGCCCTTTTCCGGAAATGTTTTTGTGCAAGAGGGCCAGTGTAGACAGCTAAAAACTGTTTTGTGCAAAAAAGCCCCAATGGCGAAAATGGCAATCGGGGCTTTCTTGCGCAAAACCATGTCTAGATTAGCACGGATGCTTTTCTGCAAAAAGTGCTTTAGCGGAAAAGCGTCCATGCCAATCTAGATGCTCTTTCCGCAAATGCTTTTAACGGAAAAACTTTTCCGTTAAAAGCATTTGCGGAAAATCATGCCAGTCTAGACGTAGCCTCAGAATGAGGATTAAGTAAGATATACAGGTGATATATAAGTGTTGTACTGGCTCTTTGGACAGGAGTGAATTTTACCCACAAGTGTTTGTTTATGGCTTTTTATTTACAGGTAGTCCCCGGGTTACATACAAGATAGGGACTGTAGGTTTGTTCTTAAGTTGAATTTGTATGTAAGTCGGAACTGGTACATATTGTAGGGGAAATTCTAGCCAAACATTTCTCCAGAGCTCAGTTTTATTCTCCCACACCCTCACTTCCCTCAGTCCTTTATTCTCAAGCTGAGGTGTCTGCTGAGAGAAGCCGCTCCGCATCCCCCTGGTCTGTTGGGGGGAGTGCTAGCTTCGTGTCTCCCTGGTTTGCTGGGGGGAAGCAGCTAGTACGGAGTTGCCTCACCCCGTTTGTAAGTAGGGATCCGATGTAAGTCGGATGCATGTAACCCGGGGACTGCCTGTATTTTAGAAAATACATTTTCCAGATACTTCTAAGCATTATAGATGCTTACCGGGGACTGCCTGTATTTTAGAAAATACATTTTCCAGAGCATTACTTCTAAGCATTATAGATACCTCTGTCTTACCTCTTTCCTCAGGGGATCTACTAGTGCAATAATAGAAGGATATTTGTTAATTAGGTCCACATACATATCAACCATTTCATCAGGACTCTTGTATGTTCCAGTTAATATTTCATATTTGCCTTTGGTCTAAAACATAAGTTAAATATGTAAAAGATAAAAATGGTGGCACTGTTGCGGTAAACAATTACTATTGCAATAATGAAGCCCAGTAACCACAAAACCCTCCTTTGGTGAGTGCAGGATACATAGCTGTTATTTCAGTACAGAGACCAATAGCTATTTACTCAGGCTTTGTGTGAGGTGGATGGAGTTAACCTCATGTTATTTTTAGACCTCTGCATTTCCTAAAGTTGCCATCTCCCATGATTTTATTGTGAGCTTTACAAAATTGGGGGGAGGGTATTTACTGAAAATTTCTGCTGCTGAATAAAGACACTGGCCAAAAACCTTTGTTTTCAAACAAACAAAGTAAAAACAGCTCCCTCAACCCTTCCCCCCCAAAACACATTTCTATCCCTAATGGCTGTAGAGAAAATCTTGAAATATGAAATGAGGGCAGCCTAAAAACTCAGAAACCAGAAGGCAAAGTAAAAAACAAAATATCTTTGGTTTTGTACCAATCTTATGATTTGTGGGACCAGACTCAGGATTTTTACACTTTTGAGGCTGGCAACACCACGGCTACGTCTACACTCGCCACAATTTCTGGAAAAGCCATGCAAATCAGGTAAGTCAGGTTAGGGAAATCCTACTTCGAAGTAGGAATAAGAGATCCTCCGGAAAAGGGCTTTATTCCGGAGGATCGCGCCAGTCTAGACGCTTTTTTTCCGGCTTTTCCCCAAGCCGGAAAAAAAGCGGCGGACATGTTTATTTAAATCTGCGGGGGATATTTAAATCCCCCGTGGATTTCCCTATACTGACTTACCTGATTTGCATGGCTTTTCCGGAAATTGTGGCCAGTGTAGACGTAGCCGTCACGTGTAGAATTAATGGTAGAATTCCAAACTATAGCCGAAAAACTTTTTCATCACTTTTGCATGCCATTAATATTATGGCAGTTTCTGTTTAATCAATCAAGATTCTGTTAATCTTAAAATAGGATTTTTGGGTGTCCCAACTAGCCATTTCTGTTGCACACCACAAGCATCTTAAAAATGTTAAATATTAAAAATGAACATTTTCTGTTATTGACAGCCCTCAAAACACAAAGCCAGACAGACTAGCACTTGATCTTTTTCAAATAAAAAGTATACTGAGTGATTTCTGACCACAGAGTTTCCACACCATAAGGTGCAGGGAATGCAGGCCTGGGTGGCGAAGCCTGCTGAAGTCCCCAGGTAATCAGATCCGAGACCAGTGGAAGTGCACGACAGGCTTAGGTGGGTCGAGAACCAGTGCTGCCTGGGCACGCTGGAGCAATGAGGATAAGGGATGCCCTGAACTCCTGCACCCACAGGAGCACATTGTGGACTAGTGGAAACAGTGGGAATGTGTAGAGGAGACCCCTGGGCCAGGGTATGAGTAATCCATCTCCCTGGGAGTTCTGCCCCAGCCCCATGAGGGAGCAGCACCTTGGGCACTTCCTTTTCTGTCAGGTGGCGAACAGGTTCAGAAAGGGAAACCCCCACTTGCGGAAGATCCAGATGACCACATCCCCCCTGAGAGATTACTCGTGGCTGGAGAATGACCTGCTTAGCCGGTCTGCCATGGCGTCCTGCGAGATAGGAGGCCATTCGGTGAATATCTGCCTCGATGCAGACGTTCCACAGGTGAAGGGCTTCCTGACACAGGTGAGGAGGGTGGGCCCCGTCCTGTCTGTTGATGTATGAAACTGTCGACATATTGTCTGACAGGATGAGGACTGACTTGCTCCTGAGCCAAGGAAGGAAGGCCACACAGGCACAGCAGACCGCCCGCTGCTCCTTGACATTGATTTGCAGGGAGAGGTCATCCTGGAACTACATACCTTCAGTCTTCATGTCTCCAAGGTGGGCCCCCCCAACTGCTGTCTGAAACATCCATCATGAGCAAGAGGGTTGGTATGGGTCTGGAGAATGGGATTCCAGTACAAACCTCCTCCTCCTGGGTCCACCAGTCCAGGGAGTGAAGGACATCAGAGGTAACTGTCAACACCCTGTCCCGCAGTGAAAAGCTGGGGTGTGGGTCCACGCCAACCACATCCGGAGTGCTGCGTGACATAGGTACATGTGGTCATTAGACCCAGAAAGAACATGCAGTCCCTGGCTATGGTTATCGGGAATGCTTGCATGTCCAGAACCACTGATCTGATCACCAGGAAGTGGGACCTGGGGAGGGAGGCCCTGTCTGATGTGGAGTCTAGATTGGTGCCCACAAACTATCACCGAAGTAGGCACCAAAGTCAATTTGGCCACGTTCAGGAGCAGGTCCAACTCCCGAAAGAGATCTTGGATCAAGGTGACGTGGCCCCATACTGGATTCATGGATCGCCCTCTCAAAAGCCAGTTGTCCAGATAGGGGAACTCCTGGATGCCTCTTTTTTCTCAGAGCAGCGGTGATGACAGCCATACACTTTGTGAAGACCCAGGGGGCCGTGAAAAAACCAAAGAGAAGGGTCGTAAACTGATAGTTGTCCCTGCCCACTGTAAAGCAGAGGAACCGGCGATGGTAGGGAGCAATGGAAATGTGAAAATATGTGTCCTTTAGATTGAGGGCAGCGTACCAGTCTCCAGGACTAAAGAAGAAATGACGGATGCCAGAGTCATTATCTTGAATTTGGTCTTGACGATGAAGGCATTGAGATACCTGAGATCCAGGATGGGATGAAACCTACCCTTGGCTTTGGGGATGAGGAAGTATTGGGAATAGAAGTCCCTGCCCAAAACCATGGTGGAGGGGAGGACCAGCTCTACGGCCCCCAGGGTGAGGAACTGAAGAACCTCCTCCCAAAGTAGAAGCTCATGAGAGGAACAGGGGAGGGGAAGAGAGGACAAAATGGAAGGGGATGACATACCCCCTTCCCACCATTTCCAGGACCCAACGGTCGGAGGTAATGGACTGCCAGGCCCGATGGAAAGGGAATAGAGGGTTGTGGAAAGGGAAGGATAAGACTGGTAAGCTGTCCTTGGACGCACCCTCAAAACTCTTGATGGGGCCCCGAGGACTTGGTGGGTGGGCCCTGACCTTGATCCGGGGCCAGCTGGGGCCAGCGCCTGCCATTTCTCCCATTGCCGTTCCTACTGTGATGACGGGAGAAGTCAGGACATGTGCCCTGCTGGGGAAGTCTGGGGGTGTTCCTGCCTGAGAAGGAATGCCATTGGGTTGCTGGGGTGTGAATATCCAGGGACTATAACGTGGCCTGGGTGTCCTTGAGACCATGCAGACGCTGGTCTGTCTGCTCGGAGAACAGAGACAGGCCCTCAAAGGAGAGGTCCTAGATGGTACTCTGGAGTTCCAGGGGCATGCCAGACCCTTGCAGCCAGGAGCTGCAGCGTAGCACCAGCCCTGTAGTCATAGCCTGTGCATCTGCATCAGCTGCATCAAGGGCTGCCCAGAGCACTGCCTTACAGATTGTTCTTCCTTCCTCTGAGAGGGCTCTAAATTTGGGCTGAGAGTCCCTGGGGAGCAGCTCAGTAAACTTGTCCATGGAGGCCTAGGTATTATAGGCATAGTGAGACAGCAGAACCTGCTGGTTCGCTATGTGAAATTGGAGGCCCCCGGATGTGTAAGCTTTCCTGCCCAACAGGTCCATCTTCTTGGCATCCCTGTTCCTGGGGGTGGCACTTGGCTGGTCCTGCCACTCCCTTTGGTTTACTACCTGGACGACTGAGGACCCGGGAGGTGGATGGGAAAATAAGTATTTGTTGCCCTCCTGGGACACACAGTACCGCTCTTGTCCGTCACTGGGATAGAGGCTGGGGTTTGCTAGAGAGACTTCAAGATCTTGGCCACCATTCTGTAGAAAGGAAGTGCCGCTCTCGTAGAGTCAGAGTCCTCCAACACCATCTCAGGCTGGACCCTGATGCCAGGTGGCAAAGAAGGTCCTGATGTGCTCTCAGATCCATGGAAGGCATAGAGGGAAGAGTATTGCCCAGGGCCTCATCCAGGGAGGAAGATGAGGACTCCTTTGGGCCCATCTCCTCAGGGGCCATGGCTTGTGAGGGGGCCTGAGAGGCCACAGATGAAGGCACTTTAGGTGACTGGGCCACTGGGACCTCGCTCCCCGACGGCCATGGGAACACCTGGCCCAGTGGAAGTGACTGCCCTGACATGGGGGGCTGTGGAGTCTAGGGCACCTGCCCTAGACCCAGAGAAGACCAACTCCAGCCTAAAGGGGCTCCCACCCTAGCTCTGGTTGTAGGCCTAGGGGGTCCAAAATAGCCACTAACTGGGTGCTTGTGGGGGCCAGGACTGCTGCATCACTGGTATCGGAACCGGCTGCACCCACTGCTGTTGCTGCTGATGAGCGGAGGTACTACAGTGCCGTGTCTGATAGCAAGAATAGGACCAGTGCTGGGACTGGGATCTGTCTCCCCTAAATGACCATATAGATTCCACCTCCAAGTCAGTCAAATAGTCCGAGGCCGATCAGGTTGGAGCTGAAGTGGATGCAGACGGTGACCTTGCTGACTAGAGCTGCTGGGCCATCAATTCCGACTTGCCACAGTGCCGAGTAGGAGGAGGAGGCATGGCCAGGCCCGATGGGTCTTGAGTGGGGCTGGGCTGCCCCGGGCCCCTGCCGCTGGCTTCGGTGCCGAGTCACAGGTCGGGGTTGAAACTGCTGAAGTGCTGGTACTGCGGGCAGTGCTATACTTGGTGCCAGGACTGCATGTGGAGCAGAGTGGTGTTTCCTCAGCACCTGTGCCAGGGTGCTGGGTGCACTGGCTACCGATCAGTGCCAGTCGGGGTCCTGATCAAGTGCCTAAGTAGGAGAGGTGGATAGTTCAATCGAGTTCCTGGCAGCTCGAAAGCCTCCGGAGTAGAAGGCTCTGGGAAGTCCCCCACTGGACTGAGATCCTGGTGTGGACTAAGTTGCTTGCCCGACCAAGATGGTCCAGGCTTAGCACCTGATGGTGCCATGTGCCCCACTTGAGGGTTAATGGAGAGCACGCACTGTGGGGGTGACCTGCCCCTGCTCGACCTCTATTTCTGAGGCACTGGGGATTGAGACCAGTGCCGAGGTTTGCGTGGTGCCAGGGAAGGGCGTGAATGTCCTGACATCTCCTGCAGCAAGGCCAGTGCGCTTTGAGTCACCGGTGCCAGGTCAGACATGAGTGCCAGCTGTAAAGCTGCCTCCATCAGGATAATCTTGAGGCGTGACACTCTCTCTCGCTTCATGCACACCTTGAACGCTTTGTAGATTTTTGCAGGCCTCCGACAAGTGGATCTTGCCCAAGCACTTAAAGCAGGCAGAGTGCGGGTCACTGCAGGCCAGAAGTCTTTGGCACTTCTTACAAGGCTTGAAGGCTTAGGGCCCGGGCATGCCCTGCCACTCGCACCAGGAGCACCGTGGTGGGTCCTTAGTGCAGGATAACACCACTTAACTTAAAAGGAAAAACTGATAAGAACGTAACTGAAACTAGAACAAAGAACTGTAACAGTGAGTAACTGCTAAAGGGTGCTTGCTGAGCAAGAGCAGAAGCACATTCCAATATCTGTCACGGGTGGTAAGAAGGAACCGAGGGGGTGGAGGGCCAGCAGGGCTATATATTGGCCGGTATACCACACCAGGGGGCTCCCCTGCAGGCTCGACGGGTACTAAGGGAAAAATTTCAGATGACGCATGCACTCTGCACACATATGCTTACATGGAATGGACATGAGCAATCACTCGAAGAATATGAAGATATTAAGACACATTTTAAGACAGGGTGGGTGGCAGCTAGACATAAATTAATTTGCATATTGCTATGAAAGAAGGTGCTTTTATAACTTGGACTTGCATCTAGTTTAGTGAAATGTGAAATTAATCTGGCTTGCTCAATTTAATTAGCAATGAATATTTGTCCATGAAAGCAGTTTGCTACAATTAACAAGGATTAATCAGAAAAGTCTCAAAAATTGGAGTAGAGCTGCTTTCCACAATTAGCCTTTCAGTGTTGAAATTCTAAAATATAACGCGATAAAGGGATGGATGATGTTGCCACAACTATTCCAAGTGTCTTTAAAGAGAGCCACGGCTGCTATGCCAGGTCATAAGAAGAAATAGTTGCAGTGGAGCCATTGTGCCTTGCTCCACGCAAGATTTTATTCCCATGTATCCATTTTGTTAGTAGGTATGGGTATATTTTGTCACACTAGCTGCCCCTATCCCTTCTTCCCCATATTCACATGCAGAGAGTCACTACAGAGCTCTGCTGCACAGTACACAAAAGGATGAGAAAACAGTGATCTCCATGCATTTTGCTTCCTTCCACTCACCTATAACATTTCGCTGTGTTGAATAGTGCACACCACTTGGGGCTACATGTTCAAAGCCTAGTGTAGCAGGGGAGGGAGATGTGCTAAAAGCTTTCATGGGCAAAGACCCACTTCGTCAGATGCATGTCATGCATCTGACAAAGTGAGTCTTTGCCCACGAAAGCTTTTGCTTCAACACTTCTGTTAGTCTATAAGGTGCCACAGGACTCCTTGCCGCTTTTGCAGATTCAGACTAACACAGCTACTGCTCTGACACTTGTATGTTTGTACACTAACTATCACAAAACAAATAATAAATATTAACAATATGAAATTAGCAATCACTTTAAAATCAGTTAAAAAGAGCTTAAATAACTTACATAGTCCATCAATTCATGAGCAGCGCAATTTATTGCTAAATGTACATCTATTCCTAGTTCCAGACCTAGATTCTTGCAAGCTGTTTGCATTAAGATCAGAGGTTGTTCTAGACTATCGCACCCTGTTATTAAGCACCCCAAGTGGGATATTCTTTTTAAAGCAGGTGGCTGGAAATAAAACACAAAGAATGCTTGTATTAACATATGGTAGCTATATGACAGTAGGATTCTAGTCAACCTCAGCTCAGAAAAATATAACATTCTCTCACAAAATACAATTAAAAACCTTATAGACAATACACTACATAATAAGAGGTTCCCAAGAGTTGTTCCATGGAGGGCAAGCTTGTTTGTGAAACTATGGCTGGTCCCATGGTTCTGGCTCACCTGTTTCCCGATGCTACCATTCATTAAAAGACAGCAAACTTGCTGTAAAGGCTCTCTTAATATTGCCTTTCCACACAAGCAAATCCTGAAATTGCTAAAAAACACAGTTCCAAAATTATAAATGGGCTTGGTCTTCACATCTGCGATTACCTTATGGATCTTTTTCCTACACAATGTCCATTAAGAAGTGATGCATACTCTGAAAAAGTTTTCCTTGCTGTGTAGATCGTGTCTTTTCTACAAAACTGGTTCCTTTTACTTTCAATGTCATTACTTTTTAAATTCACTTCTATTGTCTCAACACAACACCATTGCTACGCTCAAGAAGTAGTACAGCTCACTCACTC